TAGAAAGAAGGGCAATCTAATTCCTCCTGTGCAATTTATGCCTCTGAAAACCTGCTGGAGGGTCTGCTATGAGATGGTCCTGACTCAATGGCACACAACATCATTATCAAAACAAAAACCAAACAAATTTTAAAACCTCACCGACCTTTGGTTGTTTTGACTTGTCTTAGGGTCCCCTAGAGGAATCCCAGAGGAGGAGAAGGGTTAAATACTCAGCTGCCAAACAAAAAGTTGAGAGGTTCAAACTTAACCAGCAGCTCCTTGGTAGACCAGCCCTGGCAATCGGCTCCCATCAAGATTAAATCCTAGGAAATCCCAGGGGGCAGATCCACGCTCTCACACGGGGTGCTGTGGGTCTAAGTAGATGTGGTGGTACACACCCCATCACACACACGGACGCTCTGATGGGCTCTCGGAGGATTTCACTTTAATCCAACCTATCTCACGACTCCCTGAGTGCATAGGTGTCTGAAACATTTAAAAGCAGGTATACAGCTGCTACCACTTGATGCAAAAAATAGCAGCTGTGCCAAGTGATCGAAACTCACCACAGCTGAGTAAATTCCACAGCAATCCGGTAAGAAAGAGTTATTACTGTTGTGTTGCTAGGTGCCTCGAGCTGAGTGCAATTCAAAGCGACTCGATGAACAACAGCTCTGAACCCCGTCCTATCCTGTGCCAACTTCACAATCTCTTACCCACTCAAGCCCATTGCTATAGTCACTGTGCCAATCCACCTGGTGGAGGATCTTCCTCTCCTTTGTCATCCACCCACCTTCCCAAGCAGGATGTCCCTCTCCAGGGAATAGCCTCTCCTCGCAACACGCGCAAAGTATGTGAAACAAAGTTTTATCACCTTTGCCTCCAAGGAGCACTCTGGCTGCACCCTCTCCAAGACATAGTAGAACTGCCCTAGTAAAGAGATTGGTCGGCTCAAGCGGCCAATCTTTTTCTGTAACAGATAAGCACTGAACCATAAATCAGGTTCCTTGGTAAAAAAAAAAAATGGACAAGTCAGAAGACTTGGGAAGATAGTGGACTTATGAGTGTCAAGGGAGAAAGGCCTTGAAAGCCTCCCCAGATTCCTGGGAATCGAGAGTGCTAGGAGCCTCCTCAGGGTGGGACACACGCTCAACAAAGACCCAAGAAGGTTCCATTCATAGCCTAGTTTTCAGTCTCTGCACAAGGAGGAATTAAAGGCTAGGCCAGATTCATAAATGCCCGCCTGCCTGGGTCTTTAAAACAAGCATCAAAACATGCATGGACTTACCTAAACAGACTGGGAGAGTCACTTAATATTTACTTACAGCTCCAAGAGTTTAAGGAAAGCTGTCAGATCCCATGCCAATTGGTAAGCCAATGAAACAGAAACCATGTGGTCAGTCTATGGCTAAACACATGACAAAGAACAGACTTCACAAACTGAGATCAGAAAAGTCATTACACAAACAAGGCAAGAGGCAGCAACAACAAACCCTGGGCAGGGACTCTGGTTTCCAGAGCTGCCTCTGTAACATTCACTGTTTCCTGTCTTCGTAGCTAGTCCCCTGCCAGCGGGTGTCTCCACTTCCTAATCAGTCACCATTTCTCATGACTCACTTAACTGGGCTGGTTTCACCCAGTGCAGCCACTCGTGGCCTCACCTACCTCCTCACTTCATGGGTCACCTTCATTACCAGATTTTAGAGAATTTTTTTCGTACTGTTTATTACCCATTTTAATCATAGAATAAGAAGGAATTGAGTTGCAAATTGCTTCAATACAATATTTCTGAGATGGATTTTGTTGTACACCATTGAATTGAGCTAACTCCTAACAAGCCCCCCAGAAGACTGAGTTTTTTTCTCTAACTTATTTATTTCCCAGCAGGTCTTTAGAGACAGTAAATTATAAAGGAAGAGATTGCTCATCCTTCTCCCATGGAACAGCTGGTCCATTTGAACTATGCACATTTGGGATTGCAGCACAGACTCTTAGCACTAGGCCATCAGATAAGATACATGGATACTAAGAACAAATATACATCAACACCCATACAATCAAAATATTGCATTGGGCAAATCAGCTGCTAAAGATCTCTTTAAAGTGCTAAGAGCAAGGATGTCAGTTTAAAGAGTAAGGTGTGGTCGACTTAAGTCATAGTATATTTAATTGCTTCATATACTTGTGAAAGTTTGGCAGTGAGTAAGGGAAAATGAAAAAAAAAATAACCTAGATCTTTGAATAGTAGCGATGGAGGAAAGTATTGAGTATACCAGGGACTGCCAAAAGAACAAGCATACTGTCTTAGAGGAAATGGACCCAGGCTGCTCTTCAGATGCAAAGATGGTTTTGTCTTACATACGTCATGCATGTCTTTAGGAAGAACCAGATCTCAGAGAAGACAAATCTTTCCAAGATTTCCATGTCTGGAAAGGTGGAGAGTCAGAGAAGGAAAGGAAGACCCTCAATGAGATAGAGGGACACAATGACTACAGCAACGGGCTTAAGTACAGAGGAGATTGTGAGGATGGGACTGGATCAGCCAAGGTTTTGATCTGTTGTTCATGGAGTAAGCTATAAGTCAGAGTTGACTTGACAACACCTAACAACAACAACAACAACATTTTTTTGTTTAATCTTTCTACAATGAATTATAACATTAGTAAGACTGAGATTGTTAATAGCTTTAGTTTGCTTGGCTCAACAATCAACACTCTTGGTATCAGCAGCCAGGAAACCAAGAGATGAATTGCATTGGGAAAGTAGGCTGTCAGGGTCTTCTCCAGAGCACTGAAGAGCAACAAGGTCAGTCTAGAGACTAAGGTGCACCTGATCCAAGCCATAGTCTTCATAATTGCTTTCTCTGTGTCAGAGAGCTGGAAAATTACTAGAGATGATAGGAGAATTGATGTCTTTGAGCTGTGATGCTGGATAAGAGTATTGAATATACCACAGACTGCCAGGAGAACAAATAGTTTCATCCTAGGGAGGGTAAAACCAGGCTGCTCCATGGAGGCAAGGATTCTGAGACTTCGTCTGACATACTTTGGACATGTTGCAAGGAGGGACCAGTCCTTGGAGAGGGACATCATGCTTGGAAGGGTGGAGGGACAGAGAAAGAAAGGAAGACCCTCAGTGAGATGAATCGACTCAGTGACTGGGGTAATGAGTTTAGGTGTATCAGAGACAGTAAAGTTGGCACAGGATAGAGCACGTTTCAGGGCAATTGTACATAGGGTCACTACAAATTGCAAGTGACTTGATGGCACATAACAACAACTACAACGTAGCAGAAACCATTTTATTCCCTTCTTTTCCTTTAATTACTGTTTCAACCTTGAAAAACGTTATCGAGATAAGTTTACAAATGTGATCCACCACAACATTGTAACTAAAGGATAAAAAAAAATTGGAAAAATCAGGGACAATAGAAACTCCAAAAGCAATAGTCAAGAGCCTTAGTGTGTGCAGACAAAATCACATGGTTTGAAACATCATTATAATTGGGTAATATTGACAGCTCTGACCAGAGCTCATTCTCAAAAACCACAACTCATTGCAGTCCAGACAGAACTGACTCAGAGCTCACTCTCCATCGGGATTAATGTAAATTGGATTCTAGAGGGTAATTTTTAAAAATTTATTTACTTTGAAAGCTGGGTGTAAACTGTTCGAACATTTTTTATTTTGTTAACAACCAAGTGTAAGCTGATTGGCTATTTCTAATTTCATTAACAATCCATGGTCAGCTGGAAGCCTCTTGTTTAAGCAATCATGACTCTTATTGTTTGGAGAGAACATTGTTCTTAGGCGGTACAGCATTTGTCCATTGGTTTGCCTGTTGGTTTGCAGTATTGAGATAACTTGGGGTTGCTGTGATAGTGAAATCTGTGCCACTGGTGTTTCAAATGCCAAAGAGTTACCCAGGTTTTGCTGGAACTCCCTGATTAAGACAAACTAACAAGCTGAGGTGAACTCTGGCTTTTTGAGAAGTGGCAGGTATGAGGGCTCCGGGCACTTGTGGTGCTCTTTTTGCCCCACGTGGGGGTTGGCAGAGCAGACTTGCCAGATGAACTGAGGGTCTGGGGCCCAGAGTTTGCCAGCATTTGGGTGTGCCGGGATGTTAAGGTACTTAAAGGTCATGCCACATGTCGACGGCAGTTAACAATAACATTAACATAGAGAGATGAGCTGGCCCAGTGGACAGAAAGCGATGCTACCAACCAAGCCAAAGGTGGGTGACTTTTAATCCATGGCCCTCGGGCCTGTCTTTCATTGTTTTTGTTCAGACATTCCTCTAGGTCGTATAGCCCTGGTGTACAAGTTGCCATACTGTGGTCACTTGTGGTTGCTGTGAGGCTGAACACTGTGACACTGATGTGTCAAGTGTGTTAATGGTTGGTTACCCAATGTGGACAGAGAGTGGGGTGGAGCTCCCTGATTAAAACAAGCTTGGAAGCAGCAGTGGCATCCACTCTGTAATATCTTGCCTCCAGAAACCCTATGAACCTGGAGAGAGGATGAAAGACACCTAAGCATTGAGGACTCGCCTTCATAGGGTCCCTGTGAGTCGCCTGTGACTCGACGACACTTAACAACGACAAGCAGGACGGGCCATCTACTTCCTAAGTGACAGTTCTTTGAAAACCCTATGAACATTAAAGAAAGAGCATAGTTATAGTAATGTAGTGGGAGAGCCCAGATTGGTAGTCAGTTGAAATGAGTAAAAACAATAATAAGCATCATTTAAAAATTGGAACATGGAATGTACGTAGCTTGAATGGTGGAAAACTGGAAATCGTTAACAATGAAGTGGAACACGTGCATACTGATGCACTAGGCATTAGTGAAATGAGATGGACCAGCTTTGGCCACTTTGAATCAACACCAACAAGCCTCCTTATTGCCACTCAAATACCTATATTTAAATTATGCTTAATTTTCAAGTAAAGATAATAACAATGTGATGCTTCCTTATTGTTGTTGTTGTTGTTAAGTGCCATCGAGTTGTTTGCGACTCATAGCGACCCTATGTACAAGAGCCCTAAACGCCGTTCTATCCTGTGCCAACCTCCCCGTCTCAAACACACTCATTCCCACCACTCCACTCACAGAATCGATCCATCTCATCGAGGGTCTTCCTCTCCTGCGCCGTCCCTCCACTCTCCCAAACATGATGTCCCTCTCCAAGGACCAGTCCCTCCTTCCAACATGCCCAAAGTATGTCAGATGAAGCTTCAGAATCCTTGACTCCAGGGAACATTCTGGCTTCACCCTCTCCAGGACAAACCTTATTACATGATGGAACTATCTACCATGGGGTAGCAGCTATCTTGGGCATGAAAAAAACGGACTAACCCTCTAATTTGTTTAACTCAAACTTTCGAGGTAGCCACAACAGAGTAAACTACCAGAGTTCCCTTTAGGTCAAAAAGCTAAATTTAGATCCCGAAACCTAAATTAGCATAGAGTTGGAGTACATTGATACATGTAAACTGAGATTATGGTAAATATTTTTTATTATGCTTCAGAGATATTTTTTAATAAAAAAGAATTTCTGTTGAAACACTGCACAAAAATCTTATAAACAGTTACTGTTTCACCTTCTCTGGTGGTCATGCCATTATCAATCTGCTTTCCAGGTTTCTAATTTTGCTCCCACTGCCCTTTCTCTATTTGTCTCTGTCCCTATAGACTTATGCCACTAACAGGAAAAAAAAATATCTTTTCCCTAGTTAGTTCAGAAAGAGTGAGAGTGAACAAGTGTGCTCACATTCAATAGACAGAAATCCCAAAGTGTTTTGATTTAAGCAATCAGCCAGGTATAATTTAAAAAAGAAATTGATTTTATTTTGACACTAGGAACATACTTTCTTTGATGACCCAGACACCAGGACATTGGACTCACAAAAAGCAACTATAATCAATCTCATGACACTCACTATTTGCTCTGACAATGCACAGTATTTACACAGTCATTTGTGGCAAACATTCTCCCGTGACCCACAAAAAGCCATATCCTTGTCTAATTCCCTTCCTCTTGAGTATGGGTGAGGCCACTGACTTACTTCACCATCAAAGATGGCAAAGTTGATGAGAATCACTCCCTTGATTAGGTTGCATTGTATGACAAGGTTGATGAGCTGTCACTCTCACAATTACAAGTCTTTATATAAGAAGAGTCAGAAGACAGGTGAGATTCTCCTACCATACTTGAGGAAGCAAGAAGCTATGCTGTGAAGACCTGTGTGGAGGGCTAGTTTGCCGGGAACTGTAGATGACCTCTAGCCAACAGTCAGTAAGAAGACAATGCCTTCAACCACATAGAAGGATGGTTCTACCAATAATCTGACTCAGATTAAAAAAAAATTATTCCTCTCTAAAAATATAGTCACATCTCCAAGATGAAAACTCAACCCAGTCAACACCTTGCTGGTTACCTTGTAAGACCCAACATAAAGAATCCAGCTAATTTTTAAATAAACTTCCTGAGTCACGGACACTGTGAGAAAGGACCATGTATTGCTTTCAGTCATAATAGTTGTGGTAATTTGCAATGAAGCAATCAGAGTTAATAATGAGTAAAGCATTGATTTCAGTGAACTCTAAACTGAGACTACCTCCTCTCCTTCAACTGAATCAATAGGAGAAGTTATTGAACTGGCTTAGGAGACTGATCCTGACTACCAAGGAGAAACTGAGTTGATATTATCCAATCAATGAAGGTAAACACGGTGGATGGAATACAGGGGTGTCCCTACAGTATTCTTCAGTATTTCCATGTCCTATGATGGAAATAAATGCAACTCAATAAGATGAGAAGAATCCAAAACCTTTCAGGAATTAAGTGTAGGCTACAAAGAACTGCCACCAGCTGAGGCGCTTGCTGAGAGAAAGGCAATGTAGAATGGTGGTACAGACAGCACCCTTGGCTGTTCAAAAGTCATCTGTTCAAGCCCACCTGGGAGTGTTCAGAAGAAAAACATGCAAGTTCACTTCTTAAATCTAAGTCACTGGAGATAATCTTGTAGTGCATAGTTCCACTTGACACATTTGGGGTCTTTTATTTTCTTTCCTTTTTAGCACTCTTTTTTTAAAAACTTAATTTTAATGAAAGTTTACAGACTTATGGTTTCCATTCATTCATTGTTGCACTTTTCTCCCTGCCCACCCTCCCCTCAGATTCACTCTTCTCTTTGAAAAGTAAAAGTCTTTCATTGTTATGCAATCCCTCCTCCCCACGTACACTCCACCGTGTAGCCTTCGTTCTGGACTCCTGTCATGACAATAATACCTAATCATATATCCCTTTTAAACAGTTCTCTTCCTCATCTGTTTTAATGCAGTATACATTATTTATCCCCTCTTTCTCAGTCTCCCCTCAACCCCAATGTCAGTCCTGTATTACAACAGTGGCATCATGCCGTTTTTGTCCTTTTGTGATTGAGATACTACACTCAGCATAATGTCCTCCAGGGTTACCCATTTTGTATAATATTTCATGAGTTCCTTGTTTTTCAATGTAGCATAGTATTCCATTGTGTGAATATAACAGAGCTTCTCCATCCATTCATTTGTTGATGGGTTGTTTCCAACTCTTAGCTATTGTGAACAAAGCCCCGATAAACATGGGTGTACAGGGGTCTTTGTACCCTCTTCTAGGGGAAGGTTAATCTGTTTTCGATCATGTCCAAGATGGTTGCTATCTCATGTTTGATATTTCCATCATGTTCTGTGGAAGCACCACACTGTTATTATCTTTATTTGAAAATTAAGCATGATTTAAAGATCAGTATTTGAATGGCAATGAGGAGGCCTGTTGGTGTGGTGCTTAAAATGCTTGGCTGATAGCCTCAAGTTCAGAGGCTTGAACCCACCAGCTGTTCTTGAGGAAACAGATGAGAGAATCTGCTTCCTTGAAGATCTACACTCTTGAACGTGCTAAAGAGAACTTCTGTTCTGTCCTGCAGGGTTTCTGTGACGCTTGATTCCATGTCAGTGGTTAGGGATTTGGGTGCTGTGATATGTCATCTTGCCTGGGCTGAACCACATTTCCCAGCATGTTTTTTCTAGTCTATTTCTATGTAAAGTGGACTACAAACAATATTCTCTCAGACAGCTGGAGGAGACCAGAGCCTGAAGCCATTTCAAAGCCTATACATAGCTTCTTCCAGTTATTCAAAAAACACTAATCCAAGTGCTGCTGTGAAGAGATTTTACAAATGTAATAACACTTAAATTATCCCAATCAAGGTGTTGGTGAAGAACACTGAACCAGAGGTGGGTCTAGGATATGGCAGATTTGTCACATGGCCTGGGTGCCATTTGGAAGGGAGGCCCCAATGAGCAATTTCTACTAGCCATTACAATGGTGTCTCTCTGGAGACTAAGGCGCGTCTGATACAGGCCATGGTCTTTGCAATCACTTGTTATGCATCAGAGAGTTGGACAATGACCAAGGA